TATCCCCAAGCTTTTTAATGGCGATCAGATGGGAGAGGAAAAAAATTTGAGCGGTAGAAAATGGGCAAACGTCAGAAGGAACTGGAGACGGTGTAACAACTGCCACTGGAGCCAAGTTAAAGTTAATCCCCACCTTAGTCATTCATCCTCGTACTTTTAGCCGATTATTGTGGTGTTGTTTGTCAAGGCGGATCCAGAGAGCAACACCTATCTTTACAAAGTGATAATGACGAACAAACCAGAATAGCATTCTATGGTCAATAATGGTAGTGGGTGCTCGAGCACCGATCACCTCCCTTTTGGGCCCACCTGTGGCCATTTTGACGCAGTCTGAGAGGCATATATTACAAGGGTATTTACATCGCAACGTAGCCACGAGCTACCCGCATCCACCCATAGAAAGGTCTCTCTCAAATGTGTACGCATCAGTTTACATCAACAACACCACTGCTGTTTGGCCACTGCCCCCCAACGACTGCCTTTCTCACCTACCTGCGGCATGTAGCGACTGAAACGCCGGTTGAATCTGATGAATGTGTTTAGAGCTTGAACTCGGTCCATATGGAGCATCTGAAGGTGTGCTATGCGTCAGCGTAACAACTCGGTGCCCAGAATCAAATGGACGGCGAATCGCTCAAGGATAGGCGTAATACCTTTGATGGACCCTTTGGTCCTTCAAACAATGAAGAAATACTGTTCCACTATTGACGCCCCGATTTAAAAATAGCGTCTAAAGAACAGCTTTTAGTCATGTGCTGACTAAACAATTTGAAAGGGGAAGTTATGAAAGGTAAAAAGGTAAGTAAGTGGGTTCCACCTGCATTCATTAACAGGAATGACAATGAGCTTCAAAGCCTGTTCATTTTGTCTTTACTTCTGCCACGCACCTTATTTTAAAAAAATGCACCGTTGAAGAAGGGATTGTCGGCTAACTGACGGACTTGCAGTGAGAAATGGCCTTCGTGTTTTTGTGTTCCAACGTTAGCTAAGCGAACTAACACACCATTGGCTACTCTCAAACGATTCACTCACTCCACACTTCAACAACACCCCACTTCGTCCCTGGTACAACTATGCTTACTTTTGTGTGCGGTGTACCCTGGACGCCATTGTTCACCGCCAAATAACAAATATGGATGGGGATGAAGACAAGATGAGATCCGTAAAAAAAAAAACAAGACTAGCAAATCAGTGAGAAGGAGGTTCTATCCCTATTATTATAAGGCAACAGAAGACACCGTCGTAAAATCTACTCTAAAGACTTGTACTTTAGAATAGGAAGGGAGGGAGACACCGCCTCATTCGCATCCACAGCTTCCGTTGGTGTTAAGCAGTTTCTGCTGGCTTCCAACTTAACTTCAAGAGACCAAACCCACAGAGGAGCAAGCTTATGTCCCGTTCGAAAAGGATTACACATTGCGATAAAGGTATTCAAAGAGGCATTCTGCAATTATCTAGTTTTTATCACACAAAGTGGGACTGGCTTATTTGGTCACCAAATCATGCCTTTGATCTATTGAAAATGCGCTGTCAAAGGGTGGCGGTGATCATGGCCATGATAAAAGTGGCTGTACTTTTAAGCGCTAAAACAAATGCGACAGAATGCACTCTTGTTCAAGATCAATTGTCCGTGGTAAGCATGTGCCTGTGTGGATAAAGAAAGGGACATTAGTACTGTCACAGAGATCGAATATGTTCACTAGCTCCCTCCAAAAAAAGGCATCAACTTGTGTGTGCGTGGCGGGAGGGGAAGGGGGGTGGAAGGGCTTGATTAGGCAAAAAACACAAAGCAAGATTCACCACCATCACGTCCATCATCGACCTATTTGATCAAAAAGAATCGAGAACTGACAACTTGAGTCGCGCCACGAGTGACAAACACCTGATTTAAAGAGCAATGCACTCCAAGTCTGGGAATTTTCCGATGTTGAGGGCTGCTGAGCCTAAGATATTGTATGGTTAATGTTTTGGAAGAAAATTAGGGTCGGTAGGTTTGGCTGAGTACTTATTTTGGAGATAATTTTGCCGAATCACTTCCCATTCAAGAAAAAAAGTGGAAATTAAACCTTTGACATGACCTTAGAGCTCATAGAGAAAGGAGACATTCAAAAACTAAAGTGATGAATCAAACGCGGCTTCCCTTACTCGGAGGTCACCGTTTCAATGCGAATGGCTAGAGCTGAAAAGAAGGATACGATATGAGGAAAATGCGCCACCTTCACAATATGCAAGCGGTGGCCAGATGTCTGTAAGCGGGACACGTACGTGCAGATTGGACACAGACACGCGCATAAGGCTCTGGACACGACCCCCCGACGCCGCCCTCCCCTCCAAGAAAATGCCAATTCTTACCTATGCTAAGGGTGTGGGGGTAGATCTTCTACCTAGCATCAGAACTGTAGCTCGGGAAGAGGTCAGCTAGTCAATTTATTCACTGTTTGCATCCTCAGCAAAGAAGTCTAGGGGCATTGGTTACACCTTTGCGGAAAAATTTCAAAAAAACGGAAGACACAGCTATCGCTGAGACGTTTTTAAAGCAGACGATGTATAATTGGAAGTTTCAATGATCTGCCCCATCTTGACAACTTAATTGCAAGCCCGTCCAAGTTATTTCGTCCGGTTAGTTAGAATATGTGTCCACCCATGAAACAGTAATGGACACTAGCAACTAATTTGCTTTGTCCAGCAAAAGCTTGCTGCTGTCAGAGTCCAATTCTCATGACTGGTGATGCCTCAATGCAAATGCAATGATGCGTCTCGATGTCAAGAGCAAGAGCTTTTATGGTACAGTCAGTAGTTTGATTCCATGCAGTAACAAAAAATGACTTGTCAAACGGCCATATGGGTTCAATGAATTGCAAAAATAGGCAATCTCTGAAGTGATTAAGAGAACCCACAATAACTGAGTCATAAGTTGGGTGAAAAGTCCAACCTGACCCTCATCTTTCATGATTTAAAACGAAATTCAATTCCAAATACATGACTTATTTTAGAGAGGCAAAGCAGAATGTCAAAACCGGATAATGAACTCACCCAAGACGCAAATTACAGGGCGGTTCGTATTTCCGGATGGCTCGAACTCGACGTGTGTAGAACTCCTGGGGCGGCTAAAATAAAAAAATCAAACTTTCTTCATATTTTGGATCAGTACTGGATAATTAAACAAACATTAAAACAGATGAGCTGGTGGGAGCTGAGAGTCCCAAAAGCTGATAGCGAATATGAGCACTGCCTGGTCAATTAAACACCTTCGTCACCTCGAAAATGAAGTAGGTTACAAAATTAATCGCCGTCTCACAACAGACCTTATAGCGGATGTTCACACATGCATTGTAATACTTATGTTGTTTAAAATGCACCTTTGAGGCGAGAAGAGGCCTAATAATCATGATCCAATCGAATCAACCTGTTCGTTCGAAGGGTATGGAGACCAGAGGGGAGGAGATAAACGAGGAACGCGCTATACTGGCGGCAGCGCCAGCGAGCCTTTCATTCTTTTAAAGATGACATACACTTTGAAGAGTGGCTCAAAACCGCCAAATTCAAACTCTGCCTCTACCCTTAAAGCCAAAAAATACCCCTACTCCTCCGTGCTCTCCCCCAAGATTTGTTACTAATCGCAATGAACGTCGGCATCACTTACAACGTAGACATCGACCAATGATGTGACACTTTAACTCGTCACTGACCAGGAAGAGCAGACCCCCATCAGATACTTCTTCCTTCGCTACCAAAAAAGCCGGTGAGGATAACGAGGAGTACGCTAGGAACCTTCAACATCTAGCAGAACGTGCCTTCCATGGCTCACCTCCAAACAGGGGCGTTAGCTGGATAACCGCCTAATTCAAACACGGAATCAGACCTCCCATGATAGTTGAGAAGCTCTGCGGCATAAAGACCAACTCACTTAGCCAACTGGTCAAGTTTGCTACCTAGAAGCGCCAGGAAGTCCTCGCAGCCCCGTTTTATCAGATGTCCAACAGACGGTTAAACCCAACATCCCTGTATCGTGCGCCTTCGCGCTATACCCCAAGATCCGATGAGTCCTCCTTTTTCCCAATCTGTTTGTTTACAAACGGCTTTCATTCATTTATGCGAGTCCCCGGTAAGCTGGAAGGACGTCGGTACAACTTCCCTCTTGACCCGGGGCAGCTAATTCAACAGTAAATCTTCAGACTTTTCTCAGCCTTCGCAACAAGATTAGAATCCCCTCCCCTTCTACAAAATTCCGTTTGACAGAAGGAAGGGAGATACTATTAAAGGGGAGACATCGTTGGACGTCTGTGTAGGGAAAGAAAGCTGGACCATGAAATTTATTACAAGTTCAGAACTGACTTGGGACGTGACACTTGGTGCTGACTTCCTACATAACACCAAAGCTGTCCTAAATCTTGCGAAAGGCATCTTTTCCACCCAGCAAGGCACTGAAACCAACGCAGGTGTTTCGCTATCGAAAGAAGATGCAGGTGACATCTGCAGCACCCTCTTTGAAGCTGCAGCCATACCCTTGGACATCTTAGATGACCTTTGCGCACAACTGACTCACATTACTGATAACGAGAGGAAAGAATTTTGCGAGTTGCGAATTAAGTACGCGAATATATGGTCCTGGAAAGATGCTATACTGGAACGAACAAGTATCTTCGAACCTATGATAGATGCCAGCGAAGCTAGACCCATCTGGCAACCACCCAGACGTATTCCACTTCCTCTACCAGAATAAGTAATCAGTGTGGTCGAAGAGATGATTCAAGACGAGGTTATAAACCATCAAAATCACCATAGGCCTCTCCTATCGCGCTGGTAAAGAACGGTGGTAGCCTACGGCTGTGCGTCAACTAAAAGAAGTTGAGCTCAGTAACTTAGGAGGATGCATTTCCATTACTCCGCGTAGACAATTCAGTGGACTCTCTGCATGGGTCAAAGTGATTCTCCGTTCTAGACTTAGAAGCAGGATGTTGGCAAGTGGAAGTGGCGGGAAGGGACAGAGAGAAGACGGTCCCTATACTGCCAAAAGAGCTTTATGAATTCCAGACAATGCCCTTAAGACTCTAACGCTGCGGCCACCTTCCAACACCTGATGCAAACAGCACTATTTGGTTCATTCCTAAAGCTCCGTATAATCTACCTCGATGATATTCTAGCTTTTGGCAGATATATTTGAGGGCATAACGCAAAGCAATGTTGGGCCGTCTGCGAGACGCAGAATTGACATAGAAACCAAAAAAATGTCGTTTTTGCAACGCGCGGTTGCCTTCTTGGGACATACAGTTTCGTCAGACGGGACGGCAGGCACTGAAGACCTCAAAAAAACAAATGAGGACATGGCCAACACCAAACAACCAGACGGTGGTGCGTAGTTTCCTAGATTTGGCAAATTATTACAGACGCCTTGTTAAAGCTTTTGCTAAGATCGCTAGGAGGCAAAAAAGAATTTCAAGTGGGAGAAATGGCATGACGAAGAGTTTAAGAAACTGAAACGAATGCTCTGCTTAGCACGGATTCTAGCATTACCCAGCTGCAAATCAAGCGTCCCGCCATTTGTACTGGATACAGACGCGAGCGACGCAGCCGTGGGCGGAGTACTCTTACAAAGGGACAAAGGAGGAAGGGGACACGTCATCGCCTACGCGAGTACTGGACTCAGCAAGAAAATGGGAAAGAAGAGTTCAATAAAACTTGAGAAGTTCGCTATCTGTACAATGGTTAGACATTTCAGTCTACCTGATATCCGGGACTTACATAGTTGGAACGGATCATCAAGCAGTCACCTGGCAAAAAAAATAAGGGAGATCGACCGCTCAGTTGCACATTGGTATGAAGAACTGTAGCAATAAGATTTCACAATTTAATACAGAAAAGAAAGTGCGCATAGTAATGCGGACGCTCTGTCCTGCAGACCGATCAAGGCAGAAACGGGTGACGTAGTGAGTTCCATATTTTTGAGGGACCCTACTAAACATTATTGGAGAAACACGAAGAGCACCGATTCTGACACGGCTCTGATATACGAGAAGTTCCTGACATCCTCTTATAAACCAACAGCAGAAGCGATGATCTCGTCTAGCAAGGCAATCAGACGGATATGGCAAGAATGTTCGAAACTCTCCCTGAAGGATAAGGTTTTATGGTACTAAAAAGACGTCGAATCTCCCAAGCTCCTAGTGGTGCCAGGCTCACTGGTAAACAGTTCTCCAAGTGTTATGGGAGCAACTCGGGCACGCATGTGAAAGGAAGATGCTAGATGCCTCGTGCAAAAGATACCGATGGCCTTCGCTCACCCCAGACGTATTAGATTTCTGCTAAACCTGGATCACTTGCAGCGGCTTTAAAAGGCCTCACCCCACGGCGACCGCGTCACTGCAGCCTATGCCCACAGGATTCTCAGGGGAAAGAGTGGGCAGCGATTAAAGCCCTAATTTCGAAAGCCGACTCTTTGATAAACTACGCAAGACCTTACAGACCTCAAAGACACGCAAGACATCTAGACATCCGTAAGGCAATGGACGGGTAGAAAAAACAAGTCGCACTCTAAGCAGACTACTGAAGGCTTCCACTAAGGATACACAACCGGAAGACTGGAATTTAGGCCTAGGATGTGTCCTCCTTGTGTACAGAGCAAGTCTGTACATGAACGGGCGTTTCACCGTTCAAGATGCTCACATGTCGTATAATGAAAGTGCCTACCGATCGCTTCCTAAAAAACACGGAAGTTGTAGCTAACAATGTCCCAAAGTACTGCGTCGAAAAGAAGGCTTAAGAAAAACTTTTTACATTGCATGTAGACACTTACAAGAGTCTTATATCAGTCAAAAGCAATATTGCGAAAAACAGCCAGACTAACGCCTACCGAGAAGAGTACAAATATGCGGGTTAGTCTCCCACCTGAAATACACTGCAAGTCTCACCACCTTTGGAGCAAAGATCCATTCTGGGTAGTAAAAGTTCTTTCACCTACAAACTACCTCGTCTGCAACGCACAACGCCGAACTCAGCCAATAACCGTTCACCACATCAAGATGCGACCCTACAAAGGTACACAACTGGTCCAGAATGAGGATGAAGTTTACACACTAACGGAGGAAAGGAAACTGCCCGATGGCAAATTCAAAGACACACCATAAGGGGGCACCGAGGACGGTGCTAAAAAGACGGGGGTTATGTAGCACTTGTGCTCTTTATAATGTACCTTTCAAGCGAGAAACGAGCAAGCAACGCGAACCTCGTAATAGAGGAGTGGTCAGAATTCTCTGAGGCAGAGAAGAGCTTAATATCTAGACTCCCATAAACTTGTACTGATTCTCATTAACTCTGACCTATAAACGTTTCGATCGAATAAACCTGGTCGTTTAAAGGGTATGAAGGCCAAAGAGGAGATAAAAGAGGAACGCGGTACAGTATGATTTGAGTCCAACGACATTTAGGGGACATTGGTATTATTCTTATGTAATTGGTAGTGTGACGCAATCATTTATACAAATTTATCTAGGCAAGTAACTTACACTGCATGGCGGAATGGGTACTCGCAAACATTCTCCGGGGACAAGAGGGCATTGGTAATAGCGCGACAGTATACATTTCAGACATTGGAAAAGTCTCTCACCAAGTTGGAATGATTGTAATCGAGGGACAAGTCTGGAGAGCTTAGTAAAAAACGCAAATCGCCTACTTGTAATGCTGACAAACAAGCTTTGAGGTAAGGAAGGAGAGAACATAGTAGAGGGATATCTGACCGGTTTCTTCATTTTCCCAGATGCTAAGGCGAAGGAGATAGCTGTTTGGAATAGAAAATCGTAATAATCTTTCCTCCGCCTCTTGGCGCGTCAATTCCCCATGGAAGCAACTAGAACCATTTCAAGTAAAGAAATGTAGTGAGAAGAAGGATAATGATGTCCAGTACGTCCGTGTATTTAAATGCTATTTAGTTAGTCATTCAAAGAAGCATTAAAATCAAAATATTAGCCTGCAGACTTCATATATTAGATGATTAAAAAGGACAGAAAATGTAAGGCATTGAAAATAGGTGCGGCACAAAGAAATCGAGAGAAAAAACAAGTCCATGACTTGATGCATTTGCATGCTCATTAAGCAGACGAACAATAGTACTGACGAGGGTGCTCATAAAGTTTCGAGAAAGGAGTGTAAGAAATGGAATATTTTAGCCAATAAGGAATTATTTGGCAGTGATAAAGAATGCAACAAAAAACATTTTCAAACCAGGCGAATAGGCTATTAGGATTGTGAGGCGCCTACTCAGGAACTTCTGGGATTTTCCACTGGCCTGACTTGTCAGTGCAATGATCACTCGCCATCCCCCTCTGAAATGACAATAAACTCCCACCGTCTACTCGAAGACCGCGCCGGCATGGTAAGTGAAGTGAATTAACCAAACGAAAGCTTAATGGCAAAACTATTGTCCGTACATTAAACAGAAGAGAAAAACATTTACCATGTGAGGAACAAAAGGTGCATTTTGGGATTTGTACGCTTAAGCTCCTTTTTTATTTAAGCTATTGTTTCTACTAAATAATTCATCAACAAATGTAAAAAAATGGATATAGGTAAGTAATATCATTTTCGTCAAAAGCCGCAGTAGGTAAGTCAGGCTCTATTGCATGGAATGGCTAAAATTATGAATTCGTGGGAATAATTGTTTTGACACCTATCAGACCATACCGAAAACTTTTTTGGTTTCCATTTCCAAAAGAAGGGATATGTTTTACAAAAGGCGTAATATGTTTTTGAAATGCTGCACAATGTTTAAAGGGGGTTTTAAAATCAAAGCCTATTCGCAAGCAACATTGCTTCATGCTAATTTTTCTGAACAAATACGTTGAACTGCAGCGCCCATCGACTTCCTTACGTAAGAATGGAATCATGTATTGTCGACGTAGAGAATAATTGGAGAGCCACTGGCATGCTCTGGTGGCCAGCCTGCCCGGCGGCGTACCCTCCTATTTGAAGCAGAGAGCTAATTAAGCACGCAAGTTGTACGAAACAATTTTACTAATTTTCTGAGCGTTTGCTTACGTGATTTGGAATAAAACGACCAATTCTAGTGGCTTGAAATTCCATTCATTCATTTAATCAGAACTATGAAAAATAAGGCATCCGAAGTGATATCAGGAAGTTCCTATTACCTTTTTTATTTTCCATCTAAATTGTACTCAACCTGCCTTTCCGTCATTACAATATTTAGAGACTTTGGTCAGCATTTTTCGCATTTTTGTTAGGCCTAATTTTCTAAGTTAAGTGATTTATAATATCATTTGGGAGATTTCCTGCTTCAGTAAAGTTCCAGGCCAATTTGTCTGGATACACATTGTTTGGATTTCCTTTTAATAAAACAATGCATTGGTGACGAGACGCTAATAGTGAGTCTCTGTGGCGAATCATTTTTCCATTTACTTTAAGGTGCGAAAGACTTCAAGAGTTCTAGTAGAAACACTTCAACAGGTAATTTCTTATGCACCTGTCTTGGTAGCTATACACCTCTAGTCTGTCTGTTTGACTTCTTTCGCAATTTTCCGCTAGTTTAAGTAGGCTTGAGTCGCATTCCGGCCACGCTTAATGGCTCTTTTGGACTGGTCGGTAGTATAATTTCTTTTGAATTAAGTACGCCTTTGACTAGCAAATTTTTGCTGAGTGTTTCTACTACTTTTTGGATGTCACAGAGCAAGAGGTAAACAAAGTAATCACGTTCTCATTTTGGGGGAAAAAGCAATACGCTATTTTAGCTTATGCGAAATCCTGAGGAAGTATTCCGAAGTCGGGAAATGTTCTGGGATAATCGGAAAACAGGTCCTCGAAGTTTTGACAAACTAGGCAACTCATTTTGCAGAAGATTTCTGCTGTTACTGCAATAACTAAAAGCCATATGAGTACCTTACTTTATCCCCGTTACATTACCGTTTGAAGAAACAAGTTTGTTCTGAGTGTACTTTATGCCTCAGTAGTGGGCGATTAATTTTTTGCTTCACAAGATCAAGCCCTACCAACTTGAATTTGCATACTAACGTTGACACACCTTTTTCAAGAAGGTAAGAGAAATTGACTCTTCACCGAAAAAATTAATTCAGAGCGTAATTAATTAAAACTTACCACTAAGCCAATGAAGCAGGTTTCGAGATACACTGAATTCAGCGAGCTTGATTGCACCTTTGCAAGCCTCTAGAGGCGCACTCCGATGATCCAACTCGTCTGCGGACCATCGACCTTGTGGAACCTGAAAATGGTCATTCGTGTCCGCCAAGTCAAAGTCTTCAAAACTCAAAATGCTATCAGTTAACATGGATTCACTTTTAGGCACTCGGTTCTTGTACTCCATTTACGGGAGGAGGTGGATGCTCAACGGTAACAACTCGAGTCTCCCCTGAAGTCGTAAGAAGTCGTAAGATATATCACTGGTGTCCTGGCGAGTCGAGAGGCTACTGCCATAGTCCGGAGACCATGACATCGAGCGGAAGTACAATTGTCAGACATTTAAGTGCCCCCGTGAGCAATCACAGAGTTAAACAACGTCTCCTCTTGCCATGAGGCTAGAGGTTCGCCAGATATGGAGGTGAACCCTACATTTCATTTTCCCTCCTGGTTTTCTAGTAGCTGGGAATTTTGCCGATATGCTGTGGGATCTGTTCAACCTACTCATTTAAACCTTTTCATTTACAAGTGTATGTCTCGCTTTAACTGCTGAACTGCAGAGGAAGCAAGTATTTTAAATTGGGAGAGTGAAGACGCATTACTTAAACAAAGGCAATTTTGTTCCTTCTGTCTGGCTAGTATGTCACTTATGCAGGTGGAAAAGCGACTCCCTGATTAAGTCGGCAATGAGGCTACCATCCCTTCCAAAAAAGGAATGTCGATTTACAGGTATATGTATTTAGTTATCACTTAGAAGGTGGACGATTAACACCGAGTGGGGACAGGAGGAAGCTAAGCGAAGAAAGCGCAAATGAAGATGGTGATGGAAAGCGTGAAAGTGATGCCAAGGGAAGTGAGGACTCGGCCCTTCGCACTCTCCTCAATGCTTCTCTGGCGCTCCACCTTTAGCATGTACATCCTCGCCTCCTCCAGTGTATAGACTGGCTCCCTGGAGTCCTGCATCTCTTCGATTCCACAGAACCACTTCACGGCTTTCCGCCATCCCGATGGTTTGGGTTTCTGCACTTTTCCCTCTACAAAAAGGAAGTAGGAAAACCAAGTTATAGATACCTTGTTGGATTTGCTATTTCTAACCGACCTCTCCTTCATAAGAAGAAAATGGAAATGAACTAAAAGGCTTCTAGAATATGTCATGCAACCATTTCTCTCCATACCTTCCAGCCACCTCTGCTTCTCCTCATCTGAGACAATGGTGATTTTAGGTCCGTCCAAAGTGGGATCAAAGGGTGTGTGTATTTCGGAGAAGACAAGACGACGTGTCTGATATTATCGAGAAGAAAAAGAAAATTGTTGAATGACATTTTTTTGTTGATAAGGCATACCAAGAGGTCTTATGCATTCGACGTACATAGGAATTTGGAAGCGGTGTGGTCACGAAGCTAACGCAGACAGCTACGAAGAAGGGAATAACGAAGAGGAGGATGGAGAAGTGGAGGTAGTGGAGTTTGAGCAAGAAGTGTGGTAGATCAATTGGAATGTCTCCACAAGGTATTTTTGCATAGGCCAATTCCCATCCAAAACGAGCTACTCCCATCACTAGACCGACGATCAAGGCTGCAAAACATCCCTGGGGAGGAGAAAAAATATGATTAAGGTGGTCTGCAAAGCGCCTCAGCACATCTGAAACCCCTTTGCGTTTGAAGGGGATGGAAAAAGCTCAGAATTACCACAACTCAGCTTTCAGCATTAGTGGCAAAGGTCTACCTGTCAATGTCCTCAGGGGATGGTGGTGGGGGTGCAGGGGGGCTTCTCAGTCAGTAAAAGGCATTATGAGAGGTAAGGGGGAGGACGGTCAGCATTAATGTCGCCCTTACATTTTCGTTGGTTCGTTTCCAGAAAACGGCTAAGACGTAGACGGCGCAGATGGGCGGCGCGAGATAGCCGGTGACAGACTGGACGTAGTCAAATAACTCGTCACTTAACTGAACAACTGGTATCCATGCGATCCCAATGCCCACCAGAACGATGACACAAACCCTGCAGTACAGCAAAGGAAAGGAGTAGGCACCACCACCCTTACTTTCGTCTTGAAAGAAACCAACCTGCCAACAATCATGATTTCAGCATCACGGCTTTGAGGCCGAATCAGCCTCCATATATCAACAGTGAAGATCGTGGAGGCCGAGTTGAATATGCTAGTCAGACTAGAAACCAAAGACGCCATCATGACGGCCAGCATTAGACCCCTAGCGCCCGAGGGTAGGACGTTTAGAACCAAGGAGGGGTAGGCAATATCTGAACAGCCCACAGCCTTGCCGCAGATATGAGAACACAGCGGAGCAGATCCACAAGTGACAGTGTCTACAAAAGACAAAGCAGATCAGATGATTAGGTCTCCTCAAGTCTACCTGCGAAGAGCACACGAGCTATCATTCCTGGCACGACCATAAGCCAGAGCGGAAGAATTTTGATGACGGAGGCTAGGATAATGCCACCCTTGGCATGGGAGAGACTCTTAGCAGCCAGAGTCCTTTGGACAATCACCTGGACAGAGTAGTTAAGGGTGGCTAAAATGTGTCTAACCTGATCCGTGCACCAGTACCAAACGGCATTGATGGTGAGACCGAACACGGCTCCAGTCCAAGGAAGATCTGGGCTGGAGACGGATTTGAAGAAATTCATTGCATCAGATGGAGGGATCTGACACTCCGCATAGATGCCGGCATTCGCCTCCGTGTAGTCAGCCATTTGGAGAATAGCTTCACGATCTCTACGACTACCGTAGAGGTCGGGATTTAGGGAGGTCAGTGAATGGTTTTCGGCCCTGAAGGACGTGCTTTTATACACTCGTGTTGTGTTTGGAATGCCGTTGAAGTAGTTGACTAACATTGATTCAAAACCTCCCATTAGATACAGAGCTGTAGGAGAAACAAATCGTGTCAACTTTTGGATTGTCTCCTGAGTGTGAATGGAAGAAGGCTACAGACACTCACTCCTGATGGTGAGGTAAAAGGCACCAACAACCATAATAACAGTCTGAGCAAAATCGGTCCAAATGACAGCTGTCAAACCACCCATAATGGTGAAGAGGGCAGAGATGACGAGAAGTAAAATAATCGCGGGATAGATGGAAATTTGCATGGCTTGTTGAATGAAAAGACCGCCTGCATATAAGTCAGCCTGAAAGGTTTTTTGCCAATGGAAAAAAAACTAACCGAAATCTTGGTGAAAATGTAGAGAAGAAGAGCAACTACGGCCAGGTAGACCCGAATTCTTTGACCGCCTAGTCGTTTACAAAGGTATTCGGGGACTGTGACGATCTACGGTAGAGGAGTGATTGACAATTGCAGTCAGACTTACACCGGAGACGATGTAGACTGGCACGAATAGCCATCCGAGAATAGCAAGCACAAAGCAAGCCTTAAAGAAGGATTAATTGAAATTGGGACGCGTACATTGAACTCAAACACGACTATTGCAATGCCACTGGAGGCTCCTGAGCCAGCTAGACCAATAAAATGCCCGGAACCGATGTTGCTGGCAAATAGAGAGGCACCCACCTTAAGTGAGGAAAGAATAACGCGGTGTCAATTAGACCCTACCGGTATCCAGTGCATTGAGCGACCTGCTAGGAAGTAGCCGCTGACACTGCCTCTATTACGACATGAGGACTAAGTGCCAAATATTGAGATTTCAAATGAGGCGTTACCCAAATACCCACAGCAAAAATAATCACGAAATAGCAGAAAAGAACACCGAGGTCGGCCCCGTCCAGGTGTCCTAATAACATGATGTCGGCGCTAAATCTGAGACAGCGAGGCCAGTATTCGGCATCTTATAGGGTGACGTAGCCAATGAGAGGAGAATGCGAATGCCTTCCATGGTAAGTAGAAAATTTAAGCTGTGGCCTCCTCCCTGATGCACTTTTTACTTTAACCACGAGGATTACTGAGTTATCAGAACGCCAAAGAGAGGAGCAAAATTTACGCCTAGATACAGTGCTTGACCGTGTGAATAACAACGCGAGGAATATAGTCCCTGCTGATGGTACTTTCACTCTGTGACATGGCCTTTAGGAAACAGAAGCAACCTTTTAGCGCTTCCGTACGTCATTGAGGTATGATCTTTCATTCAGCTTTGCCATATTACGACTCTCGGGAAGAAGCGTGTTTCTGTAATAAGAATTTCAGTTTTAAAGTGCGAGTTTAACTTTTTTGTTCTAATTCGCTTAGGTTAAAGGTCTAGTCCCAAAGCGCCGGAAGTAGGAGCTACTGTCTATTCTTTCTGATAGGAACTGTCAACGCTATGACTGATGCACGGATCGACTATAGCTGCATGTAAAATAGGTATTAAACTCAGATGATTAGTATAAAATTGCGTTAATTAAATATCGGAAAGCACGAGTAACAGTGTTTGAGGGCATCCCCTATGTGCGTCAGACAAAATAGCACGTATTAAGTAAGCCAAAAAAACAAACGAGACCTAGAAAATAACTGAGGCATATTTTGCATTTTTAGAGAGAGTGGCATCATTATATTCAGAGAATTATTCAAGTGTGAGCGAGCCTTAACGTCAGATGCAAATATGTAACTTCAATTAAATTCCAGAGTAAATTCAGGTGCCGCCAGTGTCTTCCAAATTTGTAACCCAATCGAGACGATGCAAAATCTTTCGTAAAAAACTACTTGACAAAGTTTACTTGGGGAACTGTACGTAACTACCTACAGAATTTTAACTGCTCACCACTATTCTGTTTTGCCACCCTTGCCCTTACCCGCGCAACTGAAACCAGCCAATCGCGAGGCCGCAAGCCGTTTAATGGGTAGCTTTTTGGACGAAGTTAAGCAATTATTCGACACCGATAACCTCTACACACTCCTTGGTTGTGATAAAAGCAGCACCCCAGCTGAGAGTAAACTCGTTCTTTTGCTACTAACATTGTTAGTTAAAAGGGCATTTTACAAGTGTTCCTTGAAATATCATCCCGACCGTAATGAGGGAAAGGACAAAAGTCTTGCCACTGCACAGTTCCAAGCTATCTCTAGGGCTTTTTCTATCCTATCGGACAAAGATGCTAAGGATGTATACGACGAAACAGGTTTGTCGCATTACTCGTCTTCACCCATCGAATAAGGCATAATTGGGGAAGCCTTCTCAGAAAAGTCATTTAAAGACTGGGTCGACTACTTTAATCTCATATTTCCGCGTTTCACTGAAAAGGATATTGAGAAACAGAAAAAGAAATACATTGGGAGTGAAGAGGAGAAGAATGACATTGCCAAGTACTACGAACGCTATCAAGGAGACATGGACAAAATCATGGAAAGTGTTATCTTTGCTGACGTTTTCGATGAAGATCGCTACCGTGGCATAATTCAAGATCTGATAGACGATAAGACTGTTAAGCCCTATAATGCTTTTGTTAAAGAGTCTGCAAAAAAGCGTGCCAGACGCCTAAACAGGGCTAAGAGGGAGGCTGCAGAATTTGAGCGCCAGGCTAAGAAACAGAAGACCTCAGAGGCGAAAGAAAATTCAATGGATTCCTTGGTCCTCGCTATCCAGGCCAACCAAGAGCAGCGCATGAAGGCCGCCAACAACTTAATCGACAATCTTACGGCAAAGTACTGTCAACCACCAAATAAGAAGGCCCGTAAGAGTATTAGAGGAAAAAAATGAACTCCACTGCATTTACGACAGATTACCTTTTTTTGTTACAAACTTATAATACGCAATTTATATACAACAATCGGTGTATTTGAAGTAACAAATAAGAGGAAGTATGTGGGTTATTTTATCCAAAGTGTTTTCTTGCGAGCTGTTGAACTTTTCTAGAAAAGGCTTCCGACGTGATTTGGCTGTTGTACTCGAAGAACGGATTGAGGGATAGCTGGAAATTAAAAAGCATTATTGCAGCCACTTACCCGAACATAGACTTCGTATACGTCTTGGAAAAACTGCCGTATCCTGTCCTCGTGGTTCTCCTCGTGCATAAAGAGGAATCGCAGGCGTGCATAGCATTAAGGAAAATAATAAGCTTTATGGAAGTAATTTGCGGTGTTTTGGGGAAAAGGATATCTGAGGGAGTGACGAAAGCGGAGACAAGCCACTCATTAAACTTGTCTACAATCTTTAGATAGGTTGAAGACGAAGACCACATGTTCTCGTCAACCATGTCAAGAGCTGCGTGCGCGATAAATTGGTTCAGGTATGCAAAATCCGTCTGGTTTAGAGTAAATTTGAGGCAAAGGATTATTGATACCTTCTGATCCGATGCTTTAGATGACAAACCGTGGGTTAGTTCGAAGAGGGGGGTATCATTGGGCCCCACTATCACAAAGTAGTAAGGGCCACGCATTGGAATTCAGCGGCTAAAAACGTGATTCTACTGAAAATTGCGTTAAAGATGAAAACGGCTTCCAGTACTTGTTGAGACGAATGATTGGAAGTAGACACCCAGAGAATAAAAAAGAAATGGATTCTTGTGATCAACGGTCAAGAAAAACAACCAGAAATTTGGCAATAGTGTGTAGCAATAATAATGCAAAGTAACGTATCACCGGCAAATCATTCAGTGGCAAAATTTTAGGCTTAGATCGAAAAGAAGGGATAACAACAGAACATATATCATTTTAATTATTAAAAGAGTAATTGCTAATCAACAGTTGAAATACATCTTGGAAGTCATTATTTGGCTACGATGTGCAGTTCCAAATACATTTGTAAAGCCGTGAATAGATGGAAAATAAACATTAACACCTGTCAACTATGCCGACTAGAGCCTACTCCAAAATACCAGTACATTTTGGGAAGCACAATAGGTAACATAATGCAATGGTGCATCAGCAAAGTGGATTATACAAATTGTTGGTTCAATGAATTAGGGGGCTTTTCGGTTATCTGAATTGAGCGTCACAGTATTGAAGCCTTTTCAAAACGCTTGGATGTGAAGCAGTACAGCAAATAACAGAAATATCCAACAAGACAAGTGTTTTACTATTCGGGTCCTAGTAAAAGATGTCCCAAGCCCCAACAAAAAGTGAAAGTTCAAAAAAGGGCTTGAAATGCATTTAGGAAAAAACCGTGATGCCACAGCGGTAAGTAAATTTTCGACAAGCAAAGTTCTGGCAGAATAAACGCAACAGGAAAACTAAGGAAGGAGTCATACACACAAAAACATTACTAGGCAAAACAGTAATGCCAAGTGGCACAGCTAAAAAAATAATTCGTGAAGGTATACTACCAAAAATGATGGACGAAACTAATACTAATCTACCAAAGAGGTGTTACAAAAAGAACCCAAACATACACTTAACAACAAAACAAAGCAAAATCAAACGCAACAAAGAAAAATGACATTTTACTATTGATGAGAAGCGCACATCAAAAATAAAGTTGTCACTTTAAGATATATTGCGTTTCTAATAGATACTCCTGCACTGCCAGCTACAAATGTTAAAAAAACCTTCTAAAACGCCACCAAATCTGTGTTTTGTTCAAATATGTACGAAATAACAGTAAACTACGCGATAATTAGGTTCGGGAACAATGCAAACACCCATACGTTCTCATTGAGCCATTTAACCTCCCGGGGCGTTAATAGATTATTCAAACAAATGCGCCCTAAATTAGACAACTATTTGAGCCTGGATAAAAACCGTTGCAAGACTTACAAAGAAAATTGGCTTATAGTTTTTCTTGAAATTAAAATAAATGCTCCATTTATACCTACGTTGGCCGCAAACATCATTTTGACCATAAAGGGTGCAAGGTACAACTTATTTGTATTTAAACCTTGTAGTACTACTGTAGTCTTAATAATTCTAAAGCTATTATTGGCTCATTGACTTGGTTATTCCAACCTACACGTAGAATATATTCATAGTTCCCCAATTCCTACTACCTCCCCACACTTTCACTATAAAATTTTTAGTGCCTGTAAGTTAGTTTGCCTTTTACTTTACCTTTTACGGTCAAAGGTCTATTAATGCGACATCAGCTCCACATAGCAGCCTCTGAATCTCGCATTCCCCCCACTCTTAGTTCTGGTTGGCGAATCACCCTGCGGTGTGTGCTAGAGGGGGTGTTATTTTTCTGACACACTGTACGTTCGGTTTTATCTCGTAGGGGTAAAAGCATATTAGTACACTTGATTTAGAACACTCT